CACGCATGAGTGGTGGGGGGTAGGGGCAGAGGGACAGGGAGAGAGAGAATATTCAGCAGGCTCCACACTCAGTGCAGAGCCCAACACAGGGCTCGATTTTACCACCCTGAGATCATGACTTGAGCTGAAATCAAGAGTCAGATGCTTAACCGACTGAGCCACCCAGGCATCTCTATAAGGCGAAGGCTTTAAAGGACTTGTAATTCATTCTAGTTACTGTAGCTGGTGTTCTAGTAGTCGCCCAGTTACTAACAGTACCTTCTGTGACAATTTAACCTCCAAAATCAAATCATCCCTGTCAATCTCAAAACCTGTGATTGTTCAAAATAAAAGACATGACCTAATAAATATAGCTTTTTCTATGGTGCAAATGCCCCTTACATTAAAAATAGAAATATTTATCAAACACTGGTTTAGTAATGATGCGTGCGAAGACCTCACGTACCTCCTGTATGAGCCACATAATGTCCTGACAATTCAACTCTGTCTGTCACTACTTAACTCTCATTTTCCTTCTTGCTTTTGGGAAAAACTATTAATAGCGCCACCTTCCCTACCTCCCCCACACCTCTCCACTCCACTCATCCATTTTCTTGATAAGTGAAGATCTTGCCACTGAGCCTAAGACTCTTGGAGGTTGTAGAGAAGCAACACGGGGATTCAGTCCAGTGGTTGCACTTGAAGACCTTGACCAAAGCCAGCTTCTTGTTCACCTCAAACATAGTCTCTAGCTAGCTAGCTCATGGTTTTCCCTTTTGTCCGATGACAGCTTCACCCATAGAAGTAGCTTCTGTTTGTCCGGTAGACACCCATGCCTGGGTCACGTTAACAATAACACGCTGGAGGAGGTCCTCACCTCCACTCACGACGGCGGGACCTGCATCTCCTCTAAGCCTTCCCATCACCGAGGAGTCTCACAGGGGCTCACAAATGAGCTCATCCTCTGCTGCTGAGGCCATCACTACCCACAGAGGCATGAGGGCCCTTCCTCTGTTGTCGGAGCCCTTAGTCGAACCACTTCTGGGAACGCCATGGAGCCAGATGCTGCAGATCTGTGCCAGGCGCCGTCAGGGCAGGGGCTCCACAGTGGCCAAACATTAATGCCACCATAGGCACTTTCAGTGTATGTGGTTGAGGGTATTTTGGTCTCTCCTTCCCCTTTCTGCGATGTTCCATTTCTAGACTAAGGCATGAGACCGGGGGAGGGTACAGAGTGGGGCTAGAGGATGAATGCATATTGCGGATGCTTTTCTGAGGTCATCCTGGCTGTATTCGTAACTGAACACCACCGTCATGTGACTGCAACAACCCTGTGTGCTTCTCCGGCCCACTCACGTTCTGTGTCAGTCCCCTCCCCTCCAGTGATAGGGAGTCGCTCTGAGAGTCTAGTGAAGCCATAGAAAGACTCTGGCTTCCATCTTGCTGGCTCTCTCTCTCTCTCTCTCTTGCTCAACCACTTGCTTCAAACCAGCTGCTGGGATGTGAGCTGCCCTATGGAGAGGCCATGGGGCAAGGAGTTGGGGGAGGCTTGCAACCAGCAGCCAGCAAGAAGCCGAGGCCCTCAATCCAGAACGCACCAGGGACTGCATCCTACCGGTGAGTGAGCTTAGCTGTGGACCTGGTCCCAGCGGAGCGTGGAGGTGACTCCAGTCCCTGGCACCAACATGCCCATCACCCACCGTTGGTTCTTCACACTCCCTTCATCTTATGACCGCTTTTTTTTTTTTTTAAAGATTTTATTTATTTATTTGACAGAAAGAGACACAGCGAGAGAGGGAACACAAGCAGGGGGAGTGGGAGAGGGAGAAGCAGGCTTCCCGCGGAGCAGGAGCCCAATGCGGGGCTCGATCCCAGGACCCTGGGATCATGACCTGAGCCGAAGGCAGACGCTTAACGACTGAGCCACCCAGGCGCCCCACGACTGCTTTTCCCAATACACAATGTCTTGCCTGCGTACGTTCTACCTCCTCAGTGTAGAACTCTCCCTTTCCTCCTCTCCCCCGACTTTCTCATCATCTGCCAAGCTTCTATTCATCCTTCAAGTTTCACCTCAAGAATTACCTCTGATATGAAGCCTTCCTGGGCTCCTTCCTCCGTATTCCCTTGGCCCCTGGAGGAGTCATCCATGCAGCACTATGGTAGGGACCCAGACACATGACCAGGGCAGCACTGTGTGAGAGGGGGAGCACACAGTGGGGGTTCCTGACCAGGGTCAAACCCAGAGAAGAGAACTAATTCCTGGTGGGCCCGTGGGGGATGGAGAGCAGCTCAGCCTGTTCAAATAAAGACAGAAAATCCAGATGACACCAGCATGATCTGGATGGTGGATCCAGCCCCTCCTGGCTAAGGGTTTTCCCCAACACTCCCATGAGGAGGGTTTGCTAATTAAGAGCTGAAGCACCTGATGTTATTCTCGAGCATCTCCATTTAGTCAACCTCACTTCCTACTGTTGATTTTAGAAGGCTCTACGTGCAAAGAATTCCAATGGATATTATTAATTCAGTCAGGCAGCCATTCAGTAAATATTTATTGAGTGCCTACTCTGTGGGTTGGGAATACAGGGGTGGATAAGATAAACAACATTCCTGCTCCCCTGGAGTTTGGGTTCTAGCAGGGGAGACCATTAAACAAGTAACTATATAAATAAATACAGTTCCTACAGAGTGTGATAATTGCTATGAAAGAAATGAACAGTGTTGCCCACTGGAGAGTAAGTGAAGAAGGCCTCTCAGAAACAGTGGTCAAGGAGGCACCTCTGGGGATTACATCTGAGTGGAGATCTGGATGACAGTGAGGTAGCCATGCCCATAGTTGAGGAAGAGCATGCGGGGCACAGGAAATAGTGAGTGCAAAGACAGACACCGAGGAGGGGGTTTGTAGACCTCATTCTCAAGCTCAAGTGCATGGAGCCAACTTCCAGGCACCTGTTTTGCAATGGAGCTACACCAGGGCCTATTGTTATTTTGTATACCAGCAACAGGTAGTATAGCAATAAACAAAAGATATATTTTTTGTCCTCTTGCAAAAAGCGTCATTGTGAAACTTACTAAAGGCCCATATTTTGCATGTTAATAGATTATAGAGCCAACAGAGGTGTCAGATATCATCTAATCTAACTTCTCATTTCACGTGAGAAAACTGAGCCCCAACAAGGAGAAATGGAAGTCCTATGGTCCAAGGCTTGATGGTGGCAGGGCTGAGATTAGAACTCCAGATGTGAAATTATGTACACTCTTTCCTTAACAGGTTAAGGCAGTTACTCAAATTATTTGTATTTCTTTTGAAAATTATAAACCTGATTTTCCTCCTCTCAAATTTCTCCCTCTTTAGTTTTCCACCTAGCTTGAAGCTCCTCCAAATTCAGTTGTTAAAAAGGAAACCAACTTTGATTAAGTGTTGCTCACACTCCTCTTACCTGAATGTGAAAGCAAGGAGTGTAACATCCTTTGGCTACCAGAGGGAACTGAAAACACCTACTCAGAGTAAATAGTCTTCTTTCTGTACACAAGTTCTCACCAAGTAGCCTGAGAATCTTCTCGGCTGAATATTGCTGAGTTTGAGACAGAAAGCAGAGGCAGGACTTTGGCTCACACACCTGTTGCCCGCACCTGCTCACATGATTGGCCCACAGCAGCTGAGTGAAATTACTTCATCTCTATTGAACTCCGCCACAGAGGGCCAGGTAGCTGCCAGAGCCGGATTTTCAAAGCTGACAAACGCCTGCCCTAGCACCGCCACGCAGCATTTATAACAATTAAGGTGGGGATATGAGGCTCGGCCAAAAAGAGTAAGATTCTCTTGAAGGAGATGTGACCAGAGCTTACAGGTATAAGAGGGGCATGGGGGGATGGGTTAGCCTGGTGATGGGTATTAAAGAGGGCACGTTCTGCATGCAGCACTGAGTGTTATTCGCAAACAATGAATCATGGAACACTACATCAAAAACTAATGATGTGATGTATGGTGATTAACATAACATAAAAAAAAGAATGTAGGTCAGGTGGTCTGAGGTCATTTACCAATTCCGATAATATTATAATGAGAAGGTACACCTGAAAGAATGGGTCCGGATGGGAGTGAGGTAGCTATGCCCACAGCTGAGGGAAGAGCATGTGGGGCACAGGGAACAGTGCCCAAAATGCTCCTCCTGGAAGAAGATTCTAAGCAGGAGCGAAAAGAAATGCTATTTACATGGCGTGAGAGGGTCGCTAAGGATGAGAAATGTGTGAAACCACGGACCCCTCCGATGACTTAACAGGTCCCAAACTGGTTTCAGTAAGTTCAAATTTGTGCATGGAATACTGAGGGTAGACTAGCAATCCCTTAGTGTCTCTGGGTAAGAGACTCCTGGGCCAGGAGCAGCTTATAAAGTCTTAAACTTTGGGGCTTCTCTCCTTTACCACCGGGACCCCTGCTGCTCTTTGGTGCGGATAGTGAAGCAAACAGAAAAGGGGAGCATATACAGAAATTGCAGCATTTCTTCTCACACGCCAACTATCTGTATCCAAAGGTATTTTAAAAAGGTGTGCGTGTGAACACGCCCGTCTTCTCCAAACAGGATGACACAGGCAAGTTTCCTAATTTCTCTAAGCCTCCGTTTTCCCATCTGCCAAACAAAGCAAACTTCACATTTAGGACAATTTCACGGTCCTTAAAGATCCCCACGGGGAAGGGCGCCTGGGGCTCAGCCGGGTAAGCGTCTGATTTCGGCTGAGGTCATGATCTTGGGGTGCTGGGATGGAGCCCGACCCCAGTATCCCCGCTCAGCGGGGAGTTGGCTTCTTCCTCTCCCTCTGCTCTTCCCCATGCACTCTAGCTCTGTCTCTCTCAAATAAATAAATAAAATATTAAAAATAAATAAATAAAAAAAGCGGCTGGGTGACTGCAGGGAGGTGGATAAACAAGTCGGGCCCCAGTAAGTTGTCCCGCCCCCTCCGCCCCCCGGACTCCGATTGGCCCCCCCGAGGGGGCGTGACCAGCCTGCGCCGCGGTGGGCGGGGCCGGGAGCGCCGGGCTAACCCTCGACCCCAGTCGGTAGCCGGGCCGCGGACTCTCTCTGGAGTCACAGTCATGGCCGGCCGAGCCCGCGGGTCCGCGCGCGCGCTGCTCGCCTCCCTGCTGGCGCCCGCGCTGGTGGCGCTGCTGGTGGCGCCGGCGCGGGGCCGGGGTGGCCGGGATCACGGGGACTGGGCCGCGGCCGCGCTGGTGCCACCGCTGCCGCCCCGCGAGGACGCGGCGCGCGTGGCCCGCTTCGTGACGCACGTCTGCGACTGGGGCGCACTGGCCACCCTGTCCACTGACCAGGCGGTGCGCGGCTGGGCCTTTGCCGACGTCCTGTCGCTCAGCGACGGGCCCCCGGGCGCGGGCAGCGGCGTGCCCTACTTCTACCTGAGCCCGCTGCAGCAGTCGGTGGACAACCTGCAGGTGAGCCGGAGGCCGCAGGGCCAGCCTTCTGACTGTCGCCGAAATTCTGCCGGGGAAGGAGGGTGGGGCAGCTCGAGGGAAGAATTTGCGCGCGGCCCTGAGCCCTGCCTCTTACCTCCCGCACTGGCTTTGCAGCATTGCAACTGTTGGGCAACTAAATGCAGGAATTTCTCGCCCGCCCGCAGCTGGGGTGAATTCTTTGGCAGCACCTGCCGGGGGGGGGGGGGGGGACACTTCACACCCCTGAGTCGTCCTGGGGCACCGTGACGCTATTAAAAGTCTTACAGGGCGTACCCTTCCTTCTGAATTAAGAATTTTCCTTTCAGCAGCAAGAGGCTAATACACTACATTGTGAGTGATTAAGGCAGCGTTGAGGCCCCCGGTGCACATTACCTTCCCTGGTTAAGAAGCAGAACTGATGTGAGGTCTATGTGGTCACCCTTTGCCCGGCTTTTGTGGCAGGGCCAGGCTTAGAACCCTCTGGTGGATCCGTGCTGTCCCAAGTGGTGTCACAACTATACAGCGTGAGGGGGCTAGAGCCATACAGAGTCCGGGAATGGGCTGCGGATGAAGAACTTGAAGCTTAGGTTGAGTGACTTGCCCAAAGCCAGTAGCCCAACTATGCCAGGTCCGTCTGCCTTCAAAATACAGATCACAGAATGGCGGCACATGACCTGAATATGTCCCACAGACCAGTTTTCTTTGGCCCACACAGAGGTCTGTTTGGTTTTATAATAAATTTGAATTACAGTAGTCTCCCGCCCCCCCATCCGTGGTTTCACTTTGTGGTTTCATCTACCTGAAGTCAACTGTATTTCAGAAGCACATGACTCTCCTTCTGAGATATTGTCAGATAATAGTAGCCTAGCGCCAGGTCACAAAGCCTACCCCCCTTCACCTCGTTCCCTAGGCATTTGATCATCTCTCAGCATTATCATTAGACGAGTGAGTACGGGACAATAAGATATTTTGAAAGAGAGTGAGCATATTCACCTAACTTTTATTACAGTATATTGTTACAATTGTCCTATTTTATTACTAGTTATTGTTGCCAATCTCTTACTATGACGGATTTATAAATTAAACGTTATCACAGGTGTGTGTGTGTATAGCAAAAGCATAGTCTATATAAGGTTTCAGCCATCCACAGAGGGTCTTGGATTGTATTCCTTGTGGGTGGGGAGGGAGGGGCTAGGGTAGTTACCAACATTCGAAAATTGAGATTTCAATTACAAATCTAAGTTTGTTTTTTTTTTAGGATTTTCTTTATTTATTTGACAGAGACACAGTGAGAGAGGGAACACAAGCAGGGGGAGTGGGAGAGGGAGAAGCAGGCTTCCTGTGGAGCGGGGAGCCAGATGTGGGGCTCCATCCCAGGATACTGGGATCATGACCTGAGCCGAAGGCAGACACATAACAACTGAGCCACCCAGGCGCCCCACAAATCTAAGTTTTTAGTTTCTTGGAAGATCTGTGCCCCTGGGGACCTGAATTCTCTGAATAAAAAACAGAAACCGCTGCTCTTTTTAAGATACACACACCTCCGTTCACCCCTTCCTTATTCCCAGCCCACCCCATTCTCAGGCATTTGCCCAAAGCAAGCTCATTCTACTCAGTCAGCGATGCTCAACCCTGGCCACAAACACAGTCATCTGGGAAGACTTTTAAAAATATGGTACCTGGGTATTTTATTGAAAACACATTTTATTAAAAAAAAAAGACCAAAAACACACAACTCCCCAATCCCTCCCTGATGCTTCTAATGAGCGAGGGGGATTGAGAACCACTGCTATCCATAATTATATTTAAAGTCTCGCTGATATGGTCATCTGCTTTGTAGGAAGGAGGAAAACTAAGACTCAGAAGGGACTCCCCTGTGCCGAGCCACTAAAGGCTGCCAGGTAGAACTCCAGCCCAGGTCTTTGACCTGTCTAGAGAGACGGAGTAAGGAACCTCTCCTGGATTTCAGGTTTCTGTGATGGCAGTGAAAAGGTGTGGCCACGGCAGAATTAGTCTGACTTTGATTCCGCCAGTTAACCAGTCAGGTTGGTTTCTACCTCCTCGTTCTGACCTCTGTCTTCCCCCTGTCACCCTACTCGCCATATTTACAGGCACAAAATACCACACAGCGTAGTCCTCCGCCCAGAAACCTTTAACAGCATCTGGCTGCCTAGAGCTGCATAAGATTCACTTGGGATGTTTGTTAAAGTACAAATACCAGGGCTGGGAACGGAGCCCAGAAACCAGCATTTTAACAAGTTCTCCATGCAGGTGGTTCTTGGAAAGCACAGACTCCAGCCTGCAGAGCACAATCTTGACTCCTTAGCTTGGAGTTGAGCCACCCTCACTCCCCCACCCCCTGCCATCTCTCCCACACAACCCCACACACACACCACAAAATCTCTCTTTCAAGCACATTGGGTTTCTCATAACTCACAATCGTGTGCCACGTCTCCCTAGTTCTGTTTTTGGAATTCCCGTTACCTTTAATACATCATCCCACTTCTGTCCTGATTTTGAATATTTTATAAGGCTCTCTATAGTGTCCATATTACTCCAGGCTATGTTGACATCTCCTTATACTAAACTTCAAATACTCTTCACTGTACCATCCATTTGACAATTAGTTATATACTGTCTTCTGACCTCTTCTGTGTCATCTTGCATTATTTAATGTCTGACTTTTCAACCAGATTATAAAGTCACAGAGAAAGGAGAACCCCCCCCCCTTTTTTGTCTCCTCTGGCCTCTTGCCTAAGAGTGTACAGACAGTGAATGTTTGGCTAAATGATTTCAAGGAGCTCTCTTTATACTCATTGTTCTGATAGGTCACCATGAGATGGCAGAATTTTCCACACAAGCCACTTGAAGTTTAAAGAACTAAATGCAACATGTGAATTTTGCTGTGATCTCTCAACAGTGCCTTTCATGAAGCTGATTTCTGAATAAGAAGGAAGAATTTTGCTTGCTTCACTTGTTGAGTCTAAGCATTCTTCTCTTATTGCTAAAACAGGAATGAACAACTTCTCCAATTTTGAGATCACAAGACAATTTCTGCTAGCATAAGATAACCAAAAAACATGATTCAGCAACTTTCTTGCTTAAATTGTATGATTAGCTAGGTGAACAACTGTGTATTTTTACACACTAGTTTCATATGAAAGTCTAACCCTTTAGATCTTTCGGTGAAGGCTCTAGACCAGCCTTGTATTTGGGCAATACTGTAATAGTAATTTCTCTGGTGAATATGAAACAGATTAAGAGTTTAAGAAAAAAGAGTGAATCAGTTAATCTTAAATATGAAAACTTAGCCCCTGCTTTTCCGGAGGAAAGGTCAAGATCAAACTCTACCCTAAACTAGTAATTTTCTCAAGTGGTAGGTGGTATTTTACAATTCATTGTTTCCTGGAAGAACGCTCAGCTCTAGGGACAGTGTGTATGTGATTTATGAGGTTTATGACCTCTCCAGAGACAGTATCTCACACGTGAGGATCTTTATTTTCTCTGTACAGGAGAATCCACGTGCTACGCTGACCATGTCTTTGGCACAGACTAACTTTTGCAGGAAGCAGGGATTTGATCCCCAAAGTCCACTCTGTGCTCACATAATACTGTCAGGAACTGTTACCAAGGTGAGTAGTTAACCAGAACAGAGACGGGTTTTAGAAGAGCATCATCTATTAACAATGAAAGAAAAGATACCTTTTTTTTTTTTTTAAGATTTTATTTATTTGGGAGAGAGAGAGCACAAGCAGGGGGAGTGGCAGGCAGAGGGACAGGGAGAAGCAGGTTCCCCTCTGAGCAGAGAGCCTGCTGCGGGACTCGATCCCAGGACCCTGAGATTATGGCCTGAGCCGAAGGCAGACGCTTAACTGACTGAGCCACCCAGGTGCCCCAAGAAGAGATATCTTAAGAATAAAATGAAAATGATTTATGATTGAGATACAGAGTGAGAATACATTCTAATCTGTACTTTCATGAAAACAAAAGGCTTAAATTGGTTGACTTCGTATACGTGTTTGGTAAGATATTTATGTGGAAAATGAACGAGTTTTTGAAGCTGAATAGATGTAACAGCTGCTCAGCTCCTCTGTAAGGAACATCTGTTCAACCAAAGCCCTCTGCCGTTGGCCATGTTGTGCACTGCACAGTGTTTCCCCTGTGTGGGCTCCTTGTCTCCATATTTTAACAGTGGCTTAGGGCAGAGAGCAGACCACAGAAGCTGAAAGAGGGGTGCCCGTTACTAAATACCAGATGTGAATTTAGACAGTGGGGTGAACGCTGCAAGGCAGAGGGCAAGGTGTCCGAGCACTGATCCGATGGCCTTGCCAGCAGATGTGCTTCTTGACCTTGTCCATCATGATTACCTCAGACAATTCTGATTAATGGTCTGGAAGTTCTGTGTGGATGCATCTCTGCGGCTGCATTTCACGAGCAGGAGAAGGGGGGAGGGGCGGCAAATGCTCTTGAGTTCCACTGTGCTTCTTCCCGAGACCTTTATCCTCTGTGGATTTGCATCTCCGTGTTGAACACATGCTTGTTACGGGATACGTGTGCCGATGTGACACGGCGTGAGCATCCTAGCATGTTATCATACGCCCTGTGCTGGTTACTCTGATAGCCCGGAATGACTGTCGGGCAATGGAAGTCGGTACTCGGGATGGTTTCCCACGTCAGTATCTGTACCACCAGCATCTGAATTCTCGGATGTTTTCCGCTTTTCTGCATGCTTCCTTCATTTCCTCTTGATTCCTTAAGCTCAAGATCAGGGTTTGTAACTAAATAGACCCTTCAGGATTTGTAGAATGCTAGAACCACAGATCCTTAGCAGGCGAGATCACAGGGTGTGGTTGCTAGGAGTCGTTTACGTCACATATGCCCTTCAGGTGAACCAAACGGAAATGGGCTTTGCCAAGCATTCCCTGTTTGTCCGGCATCCTGAGATGAAAACCTGGCCGTCCAGCCATAATTGGTTCTTTGCCAAGTTGAACATAACCAACATCTGGGTCCTGGACTACTTTGGTGGACCAAAAATAGTGACACCTGAAGAATATTATAATGTCACATTTCATCAGTAAGTATTTACACATCTTTCTTCTTTCTAATACTGCAACTTTGATTAGCAGTCCTCGATCTTTTAAAGCAAGGGGGGTCTTAACCGTTTCATGTACCATGAACCGACCCTTTTAGCAAGCTGGTAAAGCCTATGACTCCCCCTCAGAATAGTAGTTTTAGGTGTATAAAATACATAGGAAATACAACGGAAACAACTCTATTGAAATACATTTATAAAAAATATTTTTTAAATGTGTGGTGTAATAATATGTTGGCTTTTTAATGAACACATTAAATAAGATTTAATAGTGAGTCTATAACATTACTGTACTTTCTGAGTAGTGAGCACTGGATATTTTACGGCATTTGCAACAACTCTAACGTGATGTGAGAGTATCTGTGATTTCTTTATTTCTGTTGGTGACAGTCACAGATACGCTATCACCACTCGGGTTTGTTGCCTACATTCATCATTGAAGGAAATGATAAATTTTAGTTAGAGCTTAATGAAAACGAAAACGTGTATTTTCCATCCAAGTTCACAAGCCCCCGAGCTCTGTCTACAGGCTTGAACGAAGGCGATGCCCTGGGGCCCTGGCTGACCTGTGACGGCCTTTCCCCATGAGAATGAGACTTGGGTGCTTCTAGACTGTGAATGGTCCACATCTGAGTCTGCGCGCGCGGCCCTGTGCTCATCAGCCCCAGTGCTGTGAGTGCTGGGGGGGCTGTGGGGCACCCACCAGGAAGTGGACACTTGGGGTGGGGGGAGGTCGACACCCGAGGGCACCCAGGAGAGAACGAAGAAGAAAATAGCCTGAAGATGGGAAAAGGACGGGAAAGAAGGGTGTGATCAGATCCTTTGAAATTAGGTCAGGGTTCCAATGAAGGAATACAGAAGTCTGGGCTTTTCCCTGGGGACAAGGTCGGTGGCCTAGCTGCCGTCCTCCAGGTCACTTCCAGTGGGAGGTAAGCGTTTGCTGCTGGCTCAGTGCCGTGCCGACTGCCTTACACATTGAATTCTCCCCGCAAGACGCTAGGTCATGTTTCTCTTCAGCTGTAAGATGGAGAGCCGACGCCGACGCACAGAAAAGTAAGAAACTTGCCTGAAGTCTGAAGCCAGTACGTGTTGGTGCTGGGATCGAGACGCCGGCATTCTAGCTCTGAGGCCCCCACCTTGCTTCTAACCATGATGATAACCTGTTTCTCTGGTTACCTGTCCGCTAGCTGGCCGGGCTCCCAACCCCGTGTCAGTCAGGTGATGCACTTGTACTTGTGACGACTGACGGCTCTTTGCAGAGATCAGGGTGATGAGGCTAAGTTAGGCCTATAGACCGTAGCTCACTTGGGGGCTTATATTCTCAGCCTTTCTTCATTCCACATAGTTCCACACTGAACTATTGAGTTCCCATCACCATTGTAAAGTTCTTCACAGCAAAGCTCAGGTTTTATTTATTTGTTTGTTTGTTTGTTTGTTTAATCCCAAACAGGGCCTAGGACAGTGCATGGCTCAGAGCAGGTGCTTAGTAAATACTGGCTACTTGTCAGGCTGATAATTTGAGACAAAGGTTCTCAGCTTCTTTGTTTGAATGAGGAACCCAGCAGTCGTGGTGTTTCTTCTGCTTCTGAGCACACAGGAGAAGAGGCTCTGGCCAGTGATTCTCTCCTGGACTGACAAAGCCACCTTACTTTATAGGAATACGGAGGCAACAATTACAACATTATGACCTGGCAATGAATTATCCAGGAGGATGGCCAGTAAGATGACAGGCCCACGATGCAAGGTTAAAGTTTACTTTTACAAGATGTGACAATCTCTGAAATACAGTTATTTTTGTATAAATAACATGCCCAAGGGCAATACTTGCTTTAATAACAGAAATGTGCTTGCCTATAAGTCTCCATGTTGAATAAGTGAGTAAACTAGATAAATTTGAGGTTCCCATTTTATTATGCAGACTCGTGAGCCTTTTCTGCAGCTCAGAGATAAGAGGGAGCATTTCCCTGTCCTTTTGAGAGGAGGACAAAAGTCTAGACCAGGGTGTGACCCCTTCTGAGGCAGGACACCAGAATCCTAGGGAGAGGCAATCTTAAAGCTGACCTTTCAGAACTCATCTGACTATTGTCCATTTCAGACAAATTGCGCTGCTCATCAGCTCTGCTTCCCAGAGGACTCTACCAGAGCCTGTGGGCATCATACTCACAGGGGAGGGGTGCTGGCTAAAATGAAGTCTCCAAGGCCAGACCCTAAACCTGTTGCTACCAGAATTCAGGAATGTGCACAAACTCAGGCAATTCTTCAGTACTCTCAAGTGGCTGAAATTCATTCAAAATCCTAAACTTCTGGATCAGGAGCTGCTTGAATCATTCCCTAGAATGATGACCTTATAAGATTTGTCGACTCCGTTTAATGAAATAATTCTTCTTCCTCTCTCTTCCCCTCTCTAGGTGAAGCAGAATATGGCATCTTTAACACCACCCTGGAGGCTGCTTAGGATGGCTCATGCAGACCCGAAGGGCTTAATATTTCTCTGTAGAACATTTCCCAGATCGGCTTGTTGGCTTTGCTTGCTTGCTTGTTTACAAAATAGAGTCGCACTATTCCTGGATTTCTTGGAAAATTTGGTTGCTAGAATTTTTTTTTCCCTCCAAATTTGAAGCCATTTTCATAGAGGGATATCTTTCATTATAATCAAGAAGTTTTGCTCCATCTGTTCCAAATAGTTTTCCAGGGGTGCTCCTTGAAGAGGAGCCAGATTTAGATGTAAGAACATGGGTCCATACCTCCTGGAAGCCACCGTGCTGGGGGAGGGCCTCGGTCCCCTGCGCCTGTGCCCGAGCTGCCCGAGCTGCCCGAGCCCGGCGGCGGGGCTGGCCTATGTGCCCGCGCACCCGCACATGCGTGGTCGTGCCAGACCCTGGTGAGACGCTCATGGCACTTCCTCCGCGTGGTCTGTTCGTGCCTGACGGTCCCGGGTAGTTGTCGATCCAAGGTAGGGCAAAACTATTTCTTATAAAGGACTTTTTTTTTTTCACTTTTCCCAAATCTAAAGTGATGATTACCTGGAACAGAAGAAGTTCATAAACCTTTCCTGAATTTGATTTCCCCATCAAAGTGGACGGAACACTGTATAATCTGTGTCCTGCACTCAAAACACACACCGACATACATGTACACATTATTTTATTTTATGTTTTGCCCCCAGATGGACTTGCAAAACGAAAAAGGATGCAGGGAATTTTGTGTAAGTCGTTTCTGGTGTTCTTTCGTGAGTAAAGTTTACCGGACACAGACCAGCATAAGCCCCGCCCCAAACCCGCTGCCCCCGGCCACTCTCTAGCTTTCTAAATAATGCTGCTCTCAGCAGTGGCCTCAGCTACTCTAAGTCTTTAATGGCTCCCATGCTGTTACTACCTAAGTTGGGTCATGAGGGAGAAGGTGGCATTAAAAAAAATCGCATTTCTTCAGAAAAGAAGAAAGGTTTCGTTTTTTTATCTATATACATGATTTCAGAAGATGGTGGAAGATCCCTCGTAAAGAGGGGTGTCAGGAACCAAGCTGCCGAAATAGCTCTCTCGCCGAATCCTTAAATGGCTAAGAAAGGAAGATGAATACGAGTTGTTATGTTTTGAAATTACAAAATGAACTTACCTAAAATCCAGCAAACAGCTGCCTTCTAAGAAACACGATTTATATTGAATTTGAAAAAATAGGTTTTTCACTCAAAATAATTAAAAGCATTATTTTCATGAAATGTGTTGGATTTATTTTCTTAAACATATTTGTTAATATTTATTACACTTTCATTGCGCGCTGTCGAAGCCCTTTTGCGTTTTTATTTTAGCATGCTGTTAAAGCGACCACTGGCTGGCTTCCTTTAGGGCCCGGGGTGCCGAGGTACCCTGTGAAAAAATGAGATTGAGGGTGTGTATCTGTTTTTCTCCCTTTACTCACTGATTGTGAGTTTTATCTTCATCATTTGATACCATATCAAAACGTATGTATATTCAGGTAGGATCCAGTTATCATTTGGAAAGTCACCTACTTTTTCATAGCAGGTGCTGGGGATTCGTTAACAGTTGAATGAGATTATGTCTCTGTTATGTTCTGGCTGGCCACCAGAGAGCGCCGTAGACCACTTTTTATGGAGATGCTGGTGTCTTGGACGCGGGGCTGCTCAAGCCAGGTTAGGGGTGGATGGCCTTGATGAGATGACATTGGGGTAAAGGCAGCCCAGGAGGGGCAAGAGGAAAACCAGAGGTCCGGTTTTGTGCTGCTGCCGCTAGGCTTCCACGGATTTACCGCTTCCTCCATGTCATTTCCTTCAGAGCCCCTTGTAGCCCACCTGTAGCAAAAGAGGGTCGGAGCCTTAGCGTTTCCCAGATAGGGGATGAGTGTCTGGCTTTGGCACAGAGAACAAGGCAGGCCGTGATCAAGAAAAGAAAATTAAAAATAGAAAGGGAGAGCCTGAAACTACTGAGCCCAGATGGCTGTGTTTGGCAGATATTTAATTGGCTTTGGGTCTGTGCTTAGCAGGTCAAGGCTGTTTGTCTTTACCAGGCCATTGCCAATAATTAGCGTTTTTATTCTGTCTTCTAGTTCAGGTCAGATTCCTTGGAGGCATGGAGCGGGGTGGAGAAAAATCCTTTGTGAAATGAGGCAGGGTTCAATGAAATCAATGCATAAATAACCGGACCTGAGGTCGTTAATGTCACATTTCTCTTCTTAGTGATATTCAGACTGAAGGTCACAAAGTAATGAAAGAGCAGAGCCTGCTTTCCTATCATGGGGCATGTTTTCAGTTTTAGTAATGAAAAAAATTAGCATTCTACTGTTGTGCAAAGCTGGTAGGTCAATATTTTTTAGAGGAATTCCAAACTGTCATGTCAGAGCCAAATGCTCTAAAATATTCATCTGAGAAGACCATTATAGCTTAAGTCCTTTTGGAATCAAAGGAGGTATAAATCAACCAACAAAACTTTTATCTTTTTCTTAGTTTTTTCCTTAGTATTTATTGTAAGATATGTATCTGTATGGACAATTTTTTAAAGTTTAACAATCCATAATCTCACATACATACATGTACACATTATTTTATTTAGCAGTCAGCATGGCTGCTAATATTTTGATGTGTTGGCTTCCAATTTCTGCGCCGGTGAAATTTTTCAATCGAATCAAGATCAGGCTGTATATGGATCATGTATCACACTTCTTTCACTTAAT